GAGAAATGAGATGGTGACTTCAACGTGATTACCAGGAGGAAAGGTTAGACCCTAGAGTAATAAAAATCAGTATGGGCTGGTGAACAAGATAAAACCGGACATGAATTAGGGATCGGAGANAATAGCCTCAATCATGTCTTGCATGTGTCTTAGGGAATGTTATTGTCTCACCTAGTGTTGGTTTAAGTTTTCTCATATAGGTGTGGATTTATTTACCGGACTTTGGGCATGATAGACATCCCGTGACCATCCAGTCAGGATCGCTCAGTCGGGAGTTGCTTAAGGAGATTTGTTTTATTTTTTTTATGTCCTGAGGTTCTTCTTCATTTTATGTCGTTTGTTACTTTCTAGTTTTGTACAGTAATGTCAAGCCTTTTGTTATTATATTTTCTGCTTTATATTTGAAAATATGTTGTAACTCAAAAAGCCAAAAAGAGATATGTTGCATTTTATATTTCGTTATAAATTTTCTTTAGAATATTAATTCTAGAAATGAAAAAAAAAATTGAGGTTGTTTTTCCTTTAGGCAATTAATATCTAAGACTTAAAATGAATTGTTTTTATGTTTACTTTAGTATATTAGGACCAAAATTCAAAAAAAGAGAATTTTCTTTTAGTGCTTCTTTAAAAGCTTCCTTTAAGGTGTTAATTCCAAAATCCAAAAAGATTTTCTTTTAAGGTGTTTCTTTGGGAAATTAGTGAAAAATGAAAAAAAAATTCTTTTATTTCCATTTGAACTTTAGGATATTGTATATAGAAAAAATACTTTATCTTTCGTTTATCATTAGAATTTCCTTTTTAGGTAATCAAAATTGAAATTCAAAAATATTTTGTTTTATCTTTTTCATTGCTTGCTTCGAAATCTTGCGTCAAGATATCAAATGAAGATTCGAAATGTTCTTCTGTGGTTTATTCCTTAGATTTCCTTCAAAAAAAAAAGAATCAAAAAATATTTTTCTCTTTTAGGGGTTTTCCTTGATAATTTCTCATAGAGTACCTATTTTTTTTATAAAAAAAAAGAAGAAAGAAAGAAAAAAACAAAGAAAAGAAAAGAAAATGAAATTGTTAGTTTGTTTACTTTATCCCCGATCTTCCAGAACTACGCAAAGATCTGATTCATGCGAGGTCAGGATACGTAGGCAGCCTCACGGTTCGGTCCCATCAAAATAAAAATCCAAAAGTCCCCAAGCAAGAAACTGGGGCAGAAGTTGTGGTTGTTGTGAGAAATCTGATTCAAAAGTTGTAATTTTAACCCATTTGAATTGTTTTGAGCCTTTTATACCCTTTTTTTCTAACCCCATCCAAAAGCCCACGTTGCCGTCCAAAGAAGTACCTTCTGATCAGTCTTCGAGAAATGCCAAGTCAAACAGGTAAAAGTAATTCATGTAAGGGGCAACACTCTGATTCAAGCAGAAAAATCAAAAATGAGAGAATCTTAATGGTAAAAATCTTCACGGGCACCGTAAGGCGACGGGAGCTGAGAGAAATCAAAAATGAGAGAGTCTTATTGGTGAAAACCCTCGTGGGCACCGTAAGGCGACGGGAGCTGAGAGAAATCAAAAATGAGAGAGTCTTATTGGTGAAAACCCTCGTGGGCACCGTAAGGCGACAATAAGTTGAGAGAAAGAACAAAATAAGAGAGGCTTGATGGTGAAAACCCTTCGGGCACTACAAGTCGAATAAGGATTATGAATCAGATTGGATAATCAGAGCATTGAAGC